TTGGAAAAGCAGAAGGCGCATGGAGAAACGGCACAGTTCAAACAAAGCCGGGCCATCAGATACACACTGCGTAAAACACACAACTGGGGCTACATCAAAAGAGCTTTTACTACCTAGAAAGCTGCATCCAGCTCCTAATAGGGTGCAAGAACGTGGTAACGCTTTGGCTACAGGGTTTAAAGTAATTTGCTTTTAAGTAACTCGCTTACTTCCTGGCGTTCCTTTCGCTAAGCGCGATGCCGAGGTGCTTGGGGAAGCAGAGGYTGCGACTACCCCGGGACTCAGACATCAAAACTGCTCAGGGAACCACAGACAAACCAGACTGTATGTGGGTGCTGCGCTTGCTCCAAGGACTTCCATGCTGAAAACATCCCGGCCGAGTGCTAAAAGGCCTCCCGGTTCCRGAGGAAGGGAGGAGAGGGCGACGCTCCGCGCAGCTGCGGGCCGCTCGGCGCCGTGCTGGAAAGCAAGCCATGATGCCCCAAAGTCAGCTCATCTCGCTGCCTTGCAGACCAGCCATTTTTGCAGAAGGAAAAACCCTTTTTCAGGCTTTTTTTGTTTCCAGCTTTCTGCTCTCCCTTGGTAACAAGATGTTGAATGCGCCCTYGCCAAGCCCCCAGCCTCACCGGGCATCCAGCATCACACGGCGGCTTTCCCTTCCCGTATCCCACCCGGCTCCATGGCACTCACAACGGGGAGCTGCGGGCTCACACACAGCCCGAGCACCCCCTAATCCCCGTGGGAAGCGCCCGGCCAATTCCCCATAGGAATAATCTTCTTCCAAGGGTGCCGCAACGCACAGCCCGCGTTACGCCAGGCAAGCGGCACCCAGGCTCTTCATTCTCTGCCAGYCACGTTGGCTTTTATTTATTATTTCCGTCTTCTGCAATAGGGACAGATGCGACTGTCCACGTTTTTTTGAGCGCTTTTAGAGCGTGAAGGTGGCTCAAAGCTCTAGCAGGGCATGGAGAGATGTTCCTGCATGTTAAGGAAGGGAAGTCAAGGCTGGGATTAGGCTGAGATTTCAGCTCCCTTTCCCGCTGTGCAATGGGAGCCCCGGGCAAGCCTCTCCCTGGCTGCCCATAGGAGCAAAGCGGCAATAAAAGGGAATCCTTCCCCGTTTCGTCAGCCGGGATGAGAAGCCGCCCCGAGCGCGGAGCTGTCCCAACCAAAGATGCTCCTGGAGGCAGGCAGGTGTCTGCGCCCACCTGCACAACTGCCTGCCCCTCACCAGGCAGGGACACGTCCGATTCCCAGTGCAGGAGATCCCTTTGCCCTCGGCTGGCAGCATCTGGGCAATGGGGAGGTTGGCTCGTCACCAGCACAGGAGCCCTTCAGAGCCAAGCATCACTCCAGCACCCACCAGGACCTTCCCAATCCACAGCAATCCCCTTAGTGGCCCCTCACCCTCCCCAAAACTCATTTCGCCTCCCCAAATTCCCAAGCTGGCCCAACTCCGAATGCATTTCAAGACCCATCGCCCCGTTTCAAGGCTTGTGTTTCACAACCCAGCAGGGTGTTTTTACGAGCAGGTGCCGCTTGCCTTAGAAACCCACGTGCAGCTGCGGAGCCACTGCTGCAATCTGCCCCCCAGCCCCGTCTCGTGCCCCCCGAGGGGCCGCAGCCCCGAGCCGCGCTCGGCACCACGGGCGGCTCCAGCTGCTCTGCATCAGCCCAGGGCCGGCATCACCTGCGAGCCCGGCCCCAGCAAACTCCCCCRGACCCCAGGTCCACGTTAAGACCCCCATTCCAAGCCCCAGCACATCCCTCCTGCAGGGATATGGGCTTCCCATGCCGACCTGAAGCCTGCATTTTGCACCGTGGTTGCAGAGTAAAACCCAAGCCTGCAATTCCCCCTAAARGACAAGTCCCAAATGACCCCCCAGACTTGGCCTAACTTCCCTTCTGGGGATAACTCAGCAATTCACCCATCCCAGAGCCRGCTCCGATGTCAGCTCCCATTTCCCACCATAACACACGGGCACTCCCAGCCTGGGCCACTCTCCCCAGGCACCGGGCACGATGCTGCACTCGAGGGCCGCGCATGGAAAACCTTTCCCAAGGAGCAACAAATCCCTCCCTAAAGTAAATTGGAAAATAGATGCGCTTTATTTMCCCTTGGCAAACTCGGGCTATGGAAGAAAAATGTTTAATATAAAAACATCTGACAAAGCACCTCCAGGATGTATTTTTTTGCATCAAAGAAGTAGCTCTTGGCAGCGCGCGCTGCGCCGACAAGAAAGCGCCCGCGCCAAACCCTGATTGTTCACGAGCTCCGAGCGCGCCGCGCCAGCTCCCTTCAAGCTAACTGGGAAAGAAAAGGGAAACCAAAACCAGCGCCGGCCCAAATAAACATCTGTCTGTGATTAAACTGGATGCACAGATACGCTCGGCTCTTGCTTTAAGGCGAATTTACGTTTTCTTTAAAGGGACAAGCTGGGGAGAGGGGGGACAAGGAAGGGAAGGTCCCGTTTGCTGCAGAGCTCCTGACTAAAGAGCCTGCCCTGCTCTCGAGCAAAACAGCMGTTTTTGCTTTTAACAGGTAATTTCACAATCTCTCCCCGAATCTGGAAAGGGGAATGTTTGCCCAGTTTCCGCACGTATCCGCCTTACATATTTATAGGCTTTTTTTTTTTTTCCCTATTCCTAACACAGAAGATCTTCATAACTTTCCTTGTTAGCATAAATCTCTGCAGCCTGTTATTTCTGGTGGGGGGTGGGAGGGAGGGAGGCATTTGCTTTCTCCATGCTTGGAAAGAAGCTGCCTTGAGTTCATCCTAAACACTGCTGGAAGCAAGAAAAGAAAGAAAGAAAGAAAAAAATATATATGTGTATATATATATAAAAACGAGCAGCAGTGCTTGCTGTGCAGCCCCGTGAGTCACCGCTCCACATCCCGGCCCCATTCCCAACACCACCCGCTCCTCCAGCTCTGGAAAACCCAATTCCCACCGAGCCTGGCGCACAGAGCCTCTCTGCTCCTGCTTGCTCAGAGCTAGCCCACGCGTTTTGGGGACCTTCACATGGGGCCCCCCATGCCAGGCTGCGTCTGGCTGGGGTCTAGCACACGGCAAGGGGATTTGTGCCCAGATCCCATGGGTTTGGGACAGTAAGCAGCACTGCACACATTCCTGCAGCATCCCGCGTGGATCCCACCAGATGCAGGAGGAGGATGGACAGGACCACGGCACGGGACCATGAGCATCACTCCACGCACGTCACAGCTCTCCCTCAGCTCCTTGGCTGCTGCTTCACCTGAGCAGCTCCAACCCTTGGGATCGAGTACATGCCCAGCCCTTTTCCAAGCAATTCTGATCTGTCCCAGTCATTGCATCTTCCTGAGGAACCAGAACCATCCCCAACCCAATCACATCCACTTCCAAAACCCCATCCCACAGGAACGTCGCAGATGCACAACGGGTTGTCCTTGCAGCAGAGGCACCACCAAAACACCTTGAACTTCCAACAGGGAAGAGTTTGGGATATTATCCCCACCAGCCTCGCTCCCCATGCAGGAACTTGCACCAATACTAACGACCTGCACTGTGCACGAGCTAAAGTCCATCTGCAAGAGCAGCTTTGCTGAAAAGAAGATAGGGCATTTTCTACTCACTGCTCACTGCCCAAGSAGCACAAAGCACCATCCATAACTTGCTATTTTTATAGGGAGCTTTTTCACTCCCTCAAGCCTTTTCCATATTTTCTCAGAAATGCTGCAGTCATGAAAAGGTCTATTTCAAAAAGAGGGCATTTTTTCCCCCCATTTTTATACATACGACTGAGATAATCTTTTGACTTTGTGCAAAAACTTCCTGTTTAGAAGTTCATCAAGTAAATGAGGACCAGGGAAAGAACGGTTCTCTTTGTTATCCAAAATTGAATTTTGCGGTTTTAGTAGGAAAAGCCTTTTTGATGATCAAAGCTGAGGCAATAAATAGTAGTGGCTTGATGCTAGATCCAAAACGTACTTATTTTTGGAACGGGAGTTCAACGCGCGCTCCGTTCCCCGGTACACACACAGAGCGGCAGGGAAGACCACATGCTCGATGCATCACCCGCCCAGGCCTACGTTTCAAGCAGACCCATTAAAAAAAGGCTGAAACGGCGAATAAACAAACTAAAATATGGCAGAGAGAGCGCACGGCCTGAGGTTACTGGGTGTTTTTTCCCCCCCTTTCTTTCAAGCCTTCCAGTGATGACAAGTATGGGTTAACTCCAGTGAAACTCTTATCCTCTTTCAGCAATCAGGAGCACTGGGGAAAAATAAATCACGCAGCCCCAGACTCTTATTAAAAGTCGCAGCGCTGGGAGCGGCGCGGGGGGAGAGGCGGTGTCCAGTTTCAGCACAATCCCGGCCACGTTATCACCGCCTTGCTCAAGGAAAAGTCCAAGTCTCTGCCTGGTTGCAGCAAAGCCACAAGGAGCTCAGCTGGGATCGCAGCTGGGCCGTTGCATCCCTCCGAGCCCGAATTCGCAACCTCGGCTGCTGTAATTAACGTCTCTTTATCGGCGTGCAATCAAAGCCGGGGTATGGGGAGCGTTGCCGACACATCGGCAGCTCTGGGATCGTTTGCTGGGAATTGCAGGCGCGTGTTCCCGGCTCGGGAGCAACGCCGCAGAGCCCTCCGGGGCCGAGCGCGAGTGGGACGCCGCGGTGCCACACGGAATCAGCGCCCGCCAAGACACCCACTGGCGTCCGCTCCAGCATCCCAAGGAACCTGCAGCCCGGGAACGCCGGGAATGCGCTCCCGGATGCGGAGGAGGCGGAGAGGGAAGGTGAACGYGGAGCGAGCGCTGCTCCCGCATGTGGAGGATAAGCGGGCGCAGCAGCACCCACTAAAACCCCACGGTGAAGCAGAGCAGCGGGGCCGTGCAGCACCTCGCCCCAGCAGCGCCTCCCTGCCTCCAAGAGCGGCTGCTTCGTCTCCCATTTGCCCCAAACCCGCGCGGGAGGAGAGCGCGGGCGCCCTCGGCTCTCCCGGCCCCGGGCGGCTGCCAACCTGAGAAGTCTCCAGGCGTGACGTTGGGCGAGTTGGTGGCCTCTGTTTCAGTGTAGGACAACGTGGAATCGGAGAGATCTGCAAGAACAACCGAGAAAGGGAGAAGGGCGTTAAGCGGAGCCGCCCCGGCCCCGCGGCCCCGGCGCCAGCCGGGCCTGAAAGCCCGGCTTAACTTTCCACCCCTGCCATGCAAATGAAGAGCTGCAATTGCCTCGACCACAAAAATAACTGCAGCTCAGTTGATCAAACAAGTAGGAACTTGGTGCTTACTGGATAAGGTTACATTAAGCCTCTAAACAATTCATAGTTACTATACTTAATTATCACCATTAAAATTCTTGAAGCTGTTTATTCTTGCTTCCTTCCTTCCTTCCTCTTTGCTGAAGCGAAGGAAACTTTGTTTTAACAAGTTAAGAGTCTTTGTTATTCTGCCTTGCTTACACCCCTCTAATTAAGCGCTCAACTGTTTGCTCACCGATTAACTATTATTTTTCCAATCCAATAAGCCCATGAAGCCAATTTCAGTCTCCGGTTGTTGTTTTAACAAAAATCACGTGTCACTCCCTATCTCCTCTCCCTGCAGCACAGGCAGTTGCTGAAGGGAACTAACTTGGAAGGGGGGAGAGCAGGAGGGATGCCTCGATTTCCTTCCTTTTTTCCTTCCCCCCTCCAGGTTTAACAAAAACAGCATAAAAGCCTCAAACACAATCAGCAAATTTGTTTTCCAGGACACTGGGCACCCTCCCAGTGTCACCCAGTGCTGGGGAGCTGGATGCAGCCTTGCCTGCTCCCTAAGGCTTGCAGATCCGGAGCGCTCATGGAGGGATGCACAGAGCATTACTACGGCCAAGCAATTCCATTTCTACCATGGCATCAGATCCCCTTCTCCCTATGGGCTTTTATTCCCATTTCCTTGGGGTGGGATACGGGCATCACAAAAGGGAGCATCCACTAAAGGCAGTGGGGCCATTTCTAGGTGGGAACACTTAGCAAGAGCCCACATTGCACTGGCCGCTTGCTCCAAGAGGCTTCCATAATCCATAGGGAAAAAGCGAAAAGCCACTCAAAAAYGACACAGGTTTCGTTTTAATAAATGCAATGGGAATAATGGGCGGTTCTCCCGCGGCCGGGAAAGGGCACCCGGCAGCCGCGGCTCCCGGCCCGTCACCCCGCGCGKTACGCACGCAGACACAACACGGCGTCGCGCAGCCTTTCATTGCACCCTCATTAAAAACAGCGCCTCGGATTATTTTGGAAAATATGCATGTGTCTACACCGTAATTTGCCATGATAGGCTGCCATTCATTTGCTTCCCAAAACCCGTCAGCTGACGCTGGCTCAGGAATAACGAGCGGCCGCAAAGTCCCCACGCGTAAGCTCAGCCTAACGCGCCACGTCGGGGCCTGCTCGGCCTAACCCAAGCCAGGAGCGGCGCAGACAAGGGGGAAACACCTACCCAGTGGCTTTTGCTCGTCGCTGGGAGACAGCCGGGAATAAGGAGGTGGTGGAGACTCTGGAAAAGACAGAGCTTGGYGTTAGTGCTGCCGGGCTAGGAAGGCAGAGCCCCAGGTTTTCTCCTCCACGCGGAGGAACCTCCCAAGGTCTCCCATTCCAGATCTGGACAGTGACAAAATCCGCTTGCCAATAACCCCAGCCTGAGACTTTTTCAAATCCCGGGGGATTTGGTGCTCGGCTGCAGCTCTCCAAAGGGGCTGCCAAGCGGTACCTTCCTCGAGAGGAAGACACGTGTCCMACAGAACCCCATGCTTGGGGACCACAATGTCCAGCTGGGGGTCAATCCTGCCTTCCATGGCCACTTCTGCAGTTCAGCACACCAGGACCTCAGCAGCACTGTTTTGGGGACAGAAACGATGGCTTTGGCCATGCCATCCACAGCCAACAGGCCCAAGAAGCAGCCAGGAGCCGCGTGGTCCGGGGATGCTCCATGGCCTCCAGCAGCTGGGCGCCCTCGACGCTCCTCACCCCGGCCTCCCTTCCGCAAAGCTYCTCACACACATGCATTAAGCGCATCCTTAAAAGCGCTTAACTGAACTAGGAAACTTAAGTGGCTCTTGCTGTGCTTGTGGGAGTGAGGAGCATTCAAGGAGCTCAGGGCTCCTCGAGAAGGGTCTCCGTCCCCTCTGGGGACATGTCAGAGGGTGGGATTTTCCCCATTACTAAGTTACTACAGGGATTTTTCTTTTAAAGTTGTAACTTGCTAAACTTAGAGCTATTGTCTGGGTTGAGCCAGCACCACGTCAAGGAGATGCTCCCCTGACCTCTGTGGGAACCTGGATTTCAATTCAATGCCTCAACATCAGCTCCAGACAAATAACATGGCCACATGCCCTCCAATTTCCCACAGTGACGTGAAAACAAGTTATTATATTTAATAGCTGCAGTTCAGTTTGGGCTGTTTTATTAAAACCTGCCCAAGCACTTGCAGGGTGGTGGCTTTGCCATGGCCTGCGGTCACTCGGTGCTCCTGGGGAAGGAGGCTCCTCAGCTCCCAGCCGAGAGCAGAAGTGGAACCGGTGCCACCCTGGCACCAAGTCACAGCAGGGGCAAAAGCGAAAGGGCCACCCTGGTACCTGCTCTGCAAGTGCAAAGGCTGCAAAAAAAACCTACAAAAAGCCTCTCCCTGCAGGAAAGCGGCTTGAAAGCTTCCCTGGATGTAGCTGTCCCTAAAATAATCCCCTGGCTGCAAAGGGGAGGAGAAGCAGCAGCGCCGGGGTCRGGGCACGCGGGCAGCGGGGCGCGTGCCCAGCGCACAAGCTGCTTTCAAGTAACTGATGCAGAGCGAGGCRGGATTTGGGGCTGCAAAACAAATAAAACCCGAGCCAAGAAGGGGATCCTTAGCAAGAGGGTTGAGATCTGCAGGATTCCAATGATTAAACAATGCAAAAATAAAGAAAAAAAATGAAAAGTAACAAGCGAGGGGGGAAGCCCAGGGGCTCGAGCGCCCTCCCCTTGCCGCGGGGCCGGGCTGCGCCCCCCGGCGCGGGGCTCCCCCCGCGGGGCCGCCGGGCCCTGCGGCTTTAAGAGCGCCCGGGCGCCGATAAGGAGCGAGCCAGGCTGGCGCCAGCAGCGCCGCGCGCGCGGCTCGCCCGAGACGGCGAGAGCCGCGCAAAGCCAGGGGGGCTACAGCCCCTGCGGCCACCGCACCTGGGGGGCGCGTCCCCCGCCCTCTGCCCCCCGTTTTCTTTTTTTTTTCCTCCTCTCTCCTTTTTTTTTTTTTTCCCCTTTCCTTTCTCCTGCGGCGGAGGGAACAGCCCCTGGACGGCGCCGGGCCAAGCGGGGCCGCCCTGAGGGCGCCCACCCGGCGGCTGGAAGGGGGGGGTGTCTTGAGACCCGCCGCGCTCATTGCACCCATGGCCGCACGGGGGCTACCAGCGAACGGCGCAGGGTGGGGGAGAAAGAGGGGCCCGACGGCGCTGCCCGCCCCCTCGGGCCGCGCAAGTTGCGCTGCTCTTGCAAAAATAAAATAAAAAAACCCTCCACGCAGCCACGCGGTTCCCCGCGCGCCCGGCCCCGCCGCGCTCCTCACCTGGCCCACAGAGCCTGCTGAAGTGGTAGGGGTTGCAGCAGACGGTGGGGCCGTCGGCGACGCCGAAGCTCTGGCACTCGCAGAGGGGCTTGAGCTCGGCCGGGTGCTGCAGGTCGGGCCAGCGGAAGAGCTTGCCCAGGAGCAGGTGCGGCGGCGCGGCCTGGCCGCCCAGGCGCAGCTCGGTGCGCGCCACGAGCACGCAGCCGCCGGGCATCCCCCCGCGCGACTCCACGGCCTCGAGCAGGCTGTCCAAGGAGCGCTCCTTGAGCCGCTTGAGCAGCGAGTACGTGACCGCCTTGAGCTCCTGCTCCAGCAGCAGCAGCCGGGAGCGCGACTCGCGCCCGCGCCGCTCCGCGGAGCCGCCGCCGTCGTCGGAGGCGCCGTCGGGCGCGGGGCCGCCGGGCTCGCGCTCCGTGAAGAGGCAGCAGGTCACGGTGCGCCCGTCGCCCTCCCGCGCCCACCACGGGCCCGGCGCGGCGGGCTCGCCCATGGGCCCCGCGCGCAGCTCGTGGGGCTCCCGCGTCACGGCGCCGATCTCCGGCGGGGGGTTTTTCTCCGGGCTGCTGCCGGGCGCTCCGCGCTCGTGGCTGCTGCTCCCATCGCCGCCTTCGCTGTCCGCAGTGACACGGCTTCTCCAAAGTCGCCGCACAAGCCCTGAGCGTTTGGACCTGAACATACGATACGCGGGAGGCTCGGTGGCGTCGGCCTGGCTCCTCTTCCTCCCCCTCCTCCTCCTCCTCCTCCTCCGCCGCTTTTATCTCATGGCAGCAGCGCCGTGGCGAGCTCCGCGGCGAGCTCCGCCGTGCCCAGGCGCTGCGCGGCCCCGCAGCACGGGGGGGGCGCCGGCGGGGGCATAGACGGCGCCGCGGGGGCTGCGCCGACGGCGCGGGGGGCTCGAGCGGCGCCGCGCTACATCTACCGCGGGCGCGCAGCGAGGAGGGGGCTGCGCGCGGACGGCAGCGCAACCGGGGCCGGCGGAGAGGGAACGGGGGAGTCCCAAGCCCGGCCCGAAACCCCCCGGCTCTTCCGCGGGGAGGGAGAGGCGCCCGGCGCGGCCGCGCTCCTTTGCCACATCCAAGGGAGCTCAGCGGACCCGCCTCAGGCGGCGCGCATCGGGCTGCGCTCCGCGGAGCTCCCCCGGCGGGAGGACCAAAAATAAAGAGGAAAAAAAAAMGGAAAAAATAAGAGTAAAAATCAGCTTCTCAGCGTGGTGGCTGCAAATTGTAAATATCCAAGGAGCGGCTCCTGCTGCTGCTGGCAATCCGTCATGCGGGAGCTCCGCGCCGGCGCGCTCCGCTCCGCGCCGCTGCCTCGCGGCGCCCGCGCGCCCGCGCCGCCTTTTGTGTGCGCGGCGCGCGCGCGCGCGGGGCCCCCCGGCGCGCCGCGCCCCCATTGGCCGCCGCCCGTCACGTGCCAGTCTAGACACTTTGGCGGCCCCGCGCCGCGCCGATTGTTGCGCAAACAAGGGCTCGAGTTTCCGAACTCTTAAAGGCGCCGCGCACCCGCCCGCGACGCCCCACGCGCGACGCTCCCGCCTGCAGCGGGTGCCCCCCCAACTCAGGCTGCCCACCTCGCCGCGTGCTCCCCGTCCCTGCAGCGCTGTCCCCGCATTAATAATTATTTTTTTTAAGGGGGGTCATTTTTGCCGCCCCCACGCAGGACACCGCCCACACGGCGCCCCCGCGAGCCCCCCACGAAACTGGGTCAGGGCTGCGCGGCGCCGCGCGGGTTAACGGCGCTGCCCGCGGGGCCGCGCGCCGCGGACACTCCCCCCGCGCGCCGGCGCCTCGTCCCGGGTGGCAAAAGTTCGGGCCCCGCGAGCTCCCATTGGCCCGCGRCCGCGTGACGCGCGCCAGGCGCCGCAGCCCATTGGCCCGCCCTGCCGCCCCGGGCCACGCCCACCTTCCCACCGCGGCCGTGAATGAAAGACGCGCGCGCGCGCCCCGGCGCGGGGGGACCCGCGTGGGGGAGACCCACGAAAACCCCCCTGAGCGCCGAGCCAGCAGAAACCCAAACCCCAAAGTGGCTTTTTTTCCTTTTATTTTTTTTCCTGTCCTGTAATGGGAGCTTTTCCCCTTGCAGACGTTCAAGGGCTTAATATAAATCACGGGCAATCCGCTGATAAGAGCGGAGCAGAACAGAGGTGAACTTTGTCTGGGTATCAGCCTTAGCATTGCCTGCAAGGCTGGGTTAGTGAGGAAAAAWTTGCAATTTATGTCCCAGCAGGTGACCAGGTAGGGGAGAAAAAATCCCAGCAATAAAAATAATATTTCAAGCATCAATTTGTAGACAATTGGAATATTCGTGATTTTTTTGATGTCGTGTCATTTCAGGCGCCCCGTGGCACCTACCTGCACCCGCCTCCTGCTGGCTCAGGAGGACGAGCCCTGCAAGGACTCGCTTTATCCATCACAGTTTCTTCTCCCCTCTTTTCTTCTTCCCTCTTTCTAGACCCCCRGCAGCCAAACCTTGTGTGAGCCCTGTCCCACTCGGCATGGAAATGATGTCCCACGAAGCTCGTCACTCCCGCCGCTCTGCACAGTCACACTCTGCACCTATATTACATTTTATAACCACCAAAGTTAGTCAACATCCAGCCGAGGCAGGGAAATGCTCTTTTTATTTTATATATATATATATATATATATATATATTTTTTTTTTTTTCTATTAAAGATAAATGCCACGGAAAAGGTTGTGAAAAGATTCACCTTCAGGCCTGGAAACAGAACGCAGGATTTCCTGGATCTTGGATCCCATCCTGAGGCTGCTCTCAAAAGATTCCCACATTTGTTTTAGCTGCGCGTGGATCGACCTGTCAAAGAGGACCCACAGATTGACCTCCCAAAATGCGCTGCTTTGGGCGTGTTTCTTTCCAGTATCTTTTGAGGAATGAGCTTCCAATGACAGGGTGCGAATGTGCCATTCCAGCCGGTGTCCCTGCCACGCCATACAGTCCCTGCCGCGATGGTGGCGAGCGCATCCATGCGCAGAGAAGCCTGGATTTCACCCAGGGCACCCTCCATCCCGCTGTCYCTTCCCCCAACAACACGACCTTGTTTCATGCCCTAACACGGAGCAGGCGAAACAGAGAACTCAATTGTACTTGTCCTAATGCACGTATAATTCATAATAATGTTGGTTATTAAGGGATTTTTAGTAATTAAGAGCTATGGGCTCTTTCRCCGCCTCCCCTCCCGTTTCTCCTGGCCTCCGTGCGTTCCTGCGGGATGCTCCGAGCTGGGCTACGGCTCTTGGCACGGGCGCCGCGGAGCAGCGTTTGAAACGCAGCCAGCCTTATCCGACATCGATCTCCCAGGTACTATATAAAGCCAAGCGCTCCCAGGCCCGGGAGGCCGGCGGCTGCCGCAAGGACACGGGAGCAGCGGCGTGCCCGGAGCTGGAGCGCGGCCGGGGACGGGGCGAAGCGCTGGAGGATCCCGGGGGGCACCCGCGCAGCCCAGCCTGCAGGCAGGGACCTGCTCTGTGAATTTTCAGTAAGAAAACATAATCTAGTCATTTTCCAGCTTTTTTTATTTTTCTTTTTAATCTGCAAGGTTTGCAAACRTTGCAAGCCAAAGATGCAGAAGTTAAAAATCCCAAATATTATCACATAAATATATATATATTTATATATATAAAAATTGTACATATATATGTATATGTATGTATGTACATGTGTGTATATATATATATATATATACATATATAAATGCAGGCATCCAGTGCCTGCATTTCCTCCCTGCACCTCTTTTCCAGGCTGCAAGAACCGCAGGGCGCAGAGCAGTCTGCTCCCAAATTGCCCCTGGGAGCCGGAGCAGCCCAGGGGAGCCGCGCAAATCCAGTGGGAATGCGCCCGGCGGCGCCCTGCGCTGGCCCCCATCTCAGCGCTCGCGGTTAATGGGAAGCGCGCCGGGAGCGCGCGGCGGCCGCAGGCTCCTCAGGGCCCTTCCCACGAGGATCTGCTGTGGGTGGGACGAGCTGACTCAGAGTTTCCAGGGCTGCTGTCCCATTGCAGCACGGAGCGCTGCAGCCGGGGCGGCGGATGGCAGCGAGCGGCAGCTCCGGAGCCCTTGGGGCGACAGGGCTTGTCGGGTTTATCTTGGGGTCAGAAAATGCCAGTTGGGCAAAGTTAAAGCTTTTTTTTTTTTTTTTTTTTCATTATTATTTATTTATTTATTTTAATTTTGTAGCCACCTACTGGTTTCCACGAAGTGGTGTTTGGAAAGGCTGCGTTTCCAGGTGGGACCGCAGGGACGTCCATGCCACCCCCATCGAGGTCCCTTGCTGAGTCTCTCTCTCCTCCTTGCTCTTGCCTTTCTGTGCTTGCTTTGCCTTGTTTTTCCCGCTCTCTCTCCTTTTCCTTTCCTTTTCCCTTTCATCCTGGGAAGAAAGAAAAAAAATGCAAAAAGATGCAAGATGTTGCAGAGCCCTCCAAGGCCGCTCAGCAAATACTGCAGACAGGAATCCAGACCCCCTCCCATTTCAAAACTATTCGCATCTAACATTTCCCRTTGGCTAATTGGGAATTTTTCCAATGTGAGAATGAGCTGAAAGGGAGCCCTTGGCTCTTCTGTCAGTCATTGGACACACARGGAAACATGGAAAACAAGCAGGGTCTTATCCTGCCTTTTCCATTGGTGCTGGAAATCCTGTTGGAGACGCAGCAGGAGGCCTCACAAATGCTCGGCAGAGCAGAGCTTCCCGTGCGGCAAAGGGCAAATTGCTCCCGGAGGCTTGGTCGAGGATGCGTCGGGACCAGGACCGCGATGCAGGTCAGACCAGTGAGGAAGACCCCAGAATCACTGCGGTCCTCAGTCYTGGTGGCTTCTACCAGGACACGTTTCCATGCGTTAGGACTGGGAATGTGAGTGCTGCCATCTCTGATCAGCAAGSCACATTGGCGGAATTAGGTAAATTCCAATTTATTGGCCAAGTTTGCCGTTCCAGCTGTTAGGACAGTTGTTTCCTCCACGCTCCCTGCCCCGTTTCCCTGGGGCACGGGAGCAGCTGAGGGCTCCCAGCCCCACAGAAACCACAGCGGGTTCCTCGGCCTCTTTTCCCCTTCTCCACTTGCAGCCAGAGCACCAGGACCAGCCCGACGTCCTCTTGGTCCTGCGGCAGCTCGAGCAGCACAACATGCGACAGAGGCTCTGCTCAGGTGGGACGGGAACCACCACCACCCGCGTCCTCCCGAGGAGATCCCGAAAGCCGCACGCCCGTAACAGCCCCCCGGCAGTTTGTCCTTTTTATCAGCATTTATTCAGCCGCCGGTGGAGCCGGGCCGCCTTGCTGGAGTCTTTTCCCAGCAGATAACACCAGGTCGAGATTGCCCCTTGCTGCGTTTTGGCCTGGCTTTGTGCAATGTCCTAAAGGGTCTGTGCTGGCAGGGGAACCGGTCCCACGCTGTTGTCACCTACCAACAGCGCCGCCAAGGTGCCAACCCCCGACTTGTTATTTATTTTTTCCATCTCTCCCTATCCCTATTTACCCACATGGTTTGCAAACACAAACCTGGAAGCTCCCTAGGGGAYGGGATTAAGAGGGGATTACTGGGGCTGGAGCGGGGCCAGAGAGCAGAGGCAGGAGCTGGAGCCGCGCTGGGCAGCGCGTCCCGCACGGCTCTGCGCCGCGGCCAGGAGGCACCAAAACCCATCCGCGAAAGGTCACATATAAACAGCAACCTGGCCGTTTGTGCAACAGTTTGCTCTTCTATTTACGA